GGAGGAGGAAGAGAAGGAAGAGGAAGAGAAATTATGCAGGAATGAGAAGAAGGGACAAGACCGAACAGTGGTAAGATGTGTTAAGGAGGGCGCCCACCCCACACTCCTGGGGATTGGGCTTCATTGGGGGTGGGAGGTTGAACGCAGGGCCTTATCCATGTGGAGCTGCACCCCCAGGCTTGAGATCACTTTCTTTTTTTTTTCCCCAAGGTCGGTCTCCCAAGCAGTGCTCAGAGGGCTGCAGGCTGATTCTGCAGAGCCTGATCAAGCTGACCAGACAGTTCAATGCTCAGCAATATGGTAAGAATCTGGCCCAGGCGAGCTGGGGGCCACCAGGACTGTGCCTGGAAGTGCTTGGGAGGCCACACGGCGCCAGAGATTGATCTCAGAGCTTCGTGTTTGTGTGAAACATGTGCCCTACTCCTTTGAACTTGCTCTCCGGCCTCAAAAATGAACCATTTCATTCAATTTGGGCTACAACCCACAGGGCTCATCTTACTTCTAGCTCTGTGCTCAGCCACCAGTCCTGGGGCATCATTCAGGGCATCACATTCGTGGTGCTGGGAACGAAACAGCGCACATGCAAGACAAGCATTTTAGCCGCTGTCTGATCTCTCCAGCTTTTCATTTTATTAACTCAATTGGTGATAAGGCAGTGCTTAAAGCTGACTCCTGGCTCTGTGCTCAGGAATCACTCCTGACAGTACTCAGGAAACCATAACGGTGCTGAAGATGGAACCAGGATCAGGTTGAAGCAGTTCTATGCAAGGCAACTGTCTTAACCCTTATGCTATCTTTCCAGTCAAAAGTGAACCTTTTTATTTCTTTTTTTTTTTTCTTTCTTTCTTTCTTTTTTTTTTTGCTTTTTGGGTCACACCTGTCATTGCACAGGGGTTACTCCTGGCTCATGCACTCAGGAATTATTCCTGGCGGTGCTCGGGGAACCATATGGGATGCTGGGAATCGAACCTGGGTCGGCCACGTGAAAGGCAAACGCCCTACCCGCTGTGCTATCGCTCCAGCCCCAAATGAACCCTTTTAAAGCACACAGCTGAGCAGCGTGGATCCATTCCCAGTGATCTTCCACATCCGTGCCTCCTTCCATACTTCTTTTTTGACTCTCTCTGTGCATCCTGTGGCCATTCCCAGGGAATCTCGGCTAGAGTTCTTAGATTCCGTGCCTGATCTCCTCAAATGTAACCAAGCTCCTCCTGTAAATTCCCTAAATATTCAGCCAGTTCTCTTAGCCCCTTTAGGATGTCCCATCTAGTGCTATACTCGCTCACACGGACAAGTCTTATCCTATGTGTCAGATTGGGAAGCTCCTTTAGTTTCGTGTTCAATCAGAATCTTTTCCTGGCCACCTGTGAAGTAGTTACCATGATGGTAACCTGCAGAGATGAACATGTCATGATGAGAGACAGCAGGGCCTGAGAGATAGCTCAGGCTAGTGCCAGGCTTGCCTGCAGGAGGCCCTGGTACTGCATGGTCCCCCATTTATCACTGGGAGTAACCTCTGAGTACCAGAAGATGCCTCTGAGCATCTCCAGGGATGGCACTCCTCCAAATTAAGCAGATAGTAAGGAAAACAGGTATGGAGGAGGATGTGTGTAGACCATACAGATGTGACGCCCTGTGTTTGATTCCAGCATTGCAGAAAAAAGAGAAGGAAGACAAGTGATTACTATCTGGTTCAGGAATACTGTGACTGAGCCATGGTCAGAAGGATTGGGGGAACTTGGGTGAGCACAGGGAGGTGCACCCCTCAAGCTTTGGAGGGGTACAAAGCAGAAAATGTCCACGAGCAGTTGCTACATCACTGGTCCAAGTCTTTTTATTTTGCTCTGGGGGGGGGGGCATACCCAGCAATACTCAGGGGCTAGTCCTAGTGGTGCCTGGGGGACTACATGGGCTGCATGGGATTGAACCCAGGCCTTCTGTGAGCAAGGCAAGCGCCCTAATCACTGTACTATCATTCTGGCCCCAGCGGTTCAAGTCTTACAGGTGAAACAGAAATGGACCAAGCTCAGGAACTCCTCTGGGGCTTGGCAAATTTCAAATTTGCCGAGAGTTACAGGCTCAGGGCCAGGCTGAGAACTCATTCACACTCTTCCTTGCATTCCAACTGGGTTCCCTTAAAGAGTGGCCACCATTCTGATCTTCACTTAATCACTTAACTTCCCGTTAGTCGTCGATTTGCTCGAGCGGGCGCCAGTAACGTCTCCATTTGTCCCTGTCGCGTGCTAGTGTAGCCCAATGGCATCTGTTCGCTCCGGGAACATGAAGGGCCTCAAACCGATCGTTCATGATCGTATCGTATTCGATATGCCAAAACCAGTAACTACAACTAGTCTCATTCACCTGACCCTGAAGGCTTCACCGACATGGCATTCTGATCTGTAAGGACAAAAACAAAGTAGGGGGTTCTCCACAGAGACACCCTAGTGTTAGAGAGGTAGCACAGGGCTTAAAAGGGCCTGCTTTGCATGCCATCGACATCGGTTCCATCCCCAGCACCCCATATGGTCCCCTGAACCCCACCAGGAATCACCCCTGAGCACAGAGCCAGGAGTAAGCCCTGAGCACCACTGGCTGTGGCCCCAAAGGAAACAAAGTAGAGGCTCCTGGGTTTAAGTTGCTAATTTTTTTTTTTTTTTGCGCTTTTTGGGTCACACCAGGCGATGCTCAGGGGTTACTCCTGGCTCATGCACTCAGGAATCACTCCTGGCGGTGCTCGGGGGACCATATGGGATGCTGGGAATCGAACCTGTGTCGGCCATGTTGGCTGCGTGCAAGGCAAATGCCCTACCCGCTGTGCGATCGCTCCAGCCCCATTAAGTTGCTAATTTTGTGGAGCCGATTCCAGAGCAACGTGAACCATGGAGATCCCCAAGAGAATTTGGACCGGGGTGGGGGGAGGGGTCTTGGATTTGGCTCCATGCAGCCTGGCAGGGGAGTTCGGTCCCAGTCTGCTTCGCCTCCTCCGCCCCTTCTTTCTGGTACTTCAGTGCTCTTCCCACGGGCACAGTAGAAGGGAGGCACATGATGGAGCAGGAGAGAGAAGTCCCGTGGCTTGCACGGTATCAGAGGCCAGCAGCCCTACCAGAGTGGGGTTCTGAGACCCAAGTTGATTTTTTTCCCACAGTAGCGGAGGCTGGGAAACCCCACATCCTGGGGCTGGCACGTTTGGTTGTGGGCTGCCTTCTCCTCCTGTGTCCCCCCCCACACACACACACACCCGGGGTGGATGCAGGAAGCTCTCAGGTCTTTTCCTCTCTCTCAATTTCATCAAATTCTAGTTCTCTGTGTAGCCCATCTTGGGGTATGAGGCACTGAAGGTTTAGGGCTTCAGCATCTGTGCAATTCGGGGGAGGACACATTCCAGTCTACAGTCAGCTTGGCTGGTTTCGTTAAACAAACACGGCCGAGGGCTCTGGTCTGAGAGGGGCACGCTGCACTCCAGTCTGGCCAGTGGTATGGGAGAGGCGTGGAGAACAGGAGGAATGACAACATTTTCAGGGCCCTGGTGATAGTGCTGAGGGTTGGAGTGCAGCTGGGAGCAAGTCCTTCCCAGGGCATTTCAGGGCATAACTCTGGAGCCCACACCCAGCCCCGATCCCTGGTGGCCCTCACCCCTACCAGCACTGAGCAACCCCAAATCAGAGGGCTTGGGCTAAGGGAGTGGTACTTACCCCCTGAGCACTGCTTGGGAGTGCTCCCTTCTCTCTGCTCAAGGAAAATGCTTCCAGCAGGTAAGAGACTGGAGAAAGAGCTCTGAATGCAAGCCTTGGGGTGTCCTTGGGGGACAAGGAATTCACCCAGCAGGAGCGGGCAAGCCACCGAATTGGGTGGGCAAATCCCGTTTCATTTATTCAGCACCGTCTCCTCCTTTCTCTGAGCGGAGAGTCTTTTTCTTAAACCTAACACAGGGCTAGCCAGGATCTACAGAGGGTGGCACAGAAATCACAGGACTCTTGAAAGGACACAAAGCCGGGATCCCTCACCACGGGGAGGCCAGGCCAGTTGTGAAACGGGGCAGCAGAACACTTCCCCAGCTGGTGTGAATGCCCCGGAGCAGGGCGGCAGAGTGGAGCAGGTGCTTGGCCGCGGCGCTGGAGCTGCAGAAAGGAAAATCATCTTTTTCTAAAACTCCCGGGGAGGGGACCCGGCCTTAAAGTCCATGCGGTCCTTGCAACATTAGTCTCCAGGGAGAAGCAGCCGCCCCGGCGTCGAGGGGGCACCAGGGAAAGATCACGGAGGAGGCCTAAAAAAAAAAAAAACTGGAGTGAAAAGTGTGCGAACATCTCCCAGTCCAGGGGCAAGGGAAGGGCAAAACCTGCTCCCCGGAGGCGCGAGCTGCAAGGGGCGCGCCCGGGGCGCTCACGGGTCTGAAAAGGAGGGAGCGGCTCCCCTGAAGTGCACCGCTGCCTCCGGAACCGAGGGGTGCGGGCAGGGTTCGCTACACTTGCCTGGACTCGGAACCACTGGTTCTGGGTATTTCCACTAAAAAACCATTTTCAGAACCCCATAGAGGGCGGTTCCCGGAGGGATCTGAAAAATACCCGGCAGGGGCGGGGGAGCGGGGCGTTCCCTAGGGGAGGCCGCCAGCGGACGGGCCAGCGGCGCGGGGTGCAGGACACGAGCGCCAGCCCGAGCCGAGGGGCCAGAGCGCGGCCCCCGCCCCGCGGCTCACACCCCGACCTGCGCGGCGGCGGCGGCGGCGGCGGCGGCGGCGGGGTCCCGCGCGGGAGGCGGGGCCGCAGGGCGGAGGGGCGGGGCCGGCGGGGGCGCGCGGCTCGCGGGGGCGGGGCAGCAGGCAGCCCTGCTCGCCGATTGGGTCCCGGTGGAACGAGGGGCGGGGCCTGGGGCGGGCCCGCGAGCCCGCGCGGGGGAGGGGCCGGCGGGGAGGGCGTGGCTCTGTGACGTCAGTTCCGGCCGGCGTAAAACCCCCGGGGCGGCGGCGAGCGGGCTTCAGACGCCCCTGGGTCGCGGCGGGGAGGTCCCGGAGTGGCCGCTGCGCGTCCGCGAGTGTCCGCGCCTGCGAGCCCAGCTCTCGAGCGACCCGGCGAGGGATGGCGGCCTTCGGCACTGCGGCCGCCGCGGCCGCGGCCCGGCTCCTGGTCGTGCTGCTGCTGCTGGGGCTCACGGCGCCCGCCGCCGCCCTGGCCGGCTACGTCGAGGTGGGCAGCGCCCGGGCGCGGGCTCCTTCCCCGGGGTGGGCGTCCGGCCGGGCGCGCGGGCGGCGGGGGGCGAGCGCGTCCGGCGCTGCGGCGGGTCCGGCGCACCCTCCCCCGCCCCTGCTTGGCGCAGTGCTTAGCGCTGGAGGTCGGTCCGCCTGCACCGCCGCAGAGGCCAAATGAAAGGCATCGGGGCTGCGGGGGGCGCCGGGCCGCCGCCGCGGCGCTGCCGCCTCCCCGGGGGACCCCCGCGCGGCGCAGACGCCCCCCCCGCCCCGGGCCCCCCGCCCCCGCCCCGGGACAATGCTGGCCGGCGCTGGCGCGCGCTGCGGCCCGGCGACCCCGCACCTTCCCCGCGCGCTCGTGGCGCGGGGGTGGGAAGGGGTCGCCCGGAGACCCCCAGCCTCGGAGACCCCCGGGGCTGCCCCACGACTGCAAGCTGTCGCTGCCGCCTTTGTTGGCCCCCGTGGTCGTGGAGGCGGGCTCGCGGGCTGGCCCTTGCAGGGGTGCGGGGTGCGGGGTGCGCGCCCCGGCCCTGGCCGCGGGGCCGCCTCCTGCGCGCTCGGTGCCCGCGGGCACCCAGCCGTTTGCGAGCGGTTTGCAGAAGACAGGCATCGTCCTTAAACCCTGGGGGACCCTCCCAGTCTCCGGGAGTCCGTGTGGCTCCCCGCTTTTTCTGGGGGGTTACCTCTCGCCGTGCCGAAGATCCCCGTGCAAACCCGCGTCCGCCTGTCGGTACTTTCCGGGTGTCAGCATGAACTAGTTGGGCCCCGTCCATCTGAGAGCTGCCCGGTCCCCGCCGTCGTGCCACGGAGCTGGCCGAGTGGCCCGGAGTCCGGGGCGTTCGGCTGGAGGCCGCCGGAGCCCCCCGGGTGGCGGGATCGGGGCCGGGTCTGCGCCGCGGTCCGGACTCCCGCGGCCGCCGGTCACGCACGGTCCCTGCTCCTCCGCCGGACACTACCCTCCACGGATTGGGGGTGGGTGGGGTGGGGGTGCTGCTGTTGCACGGGGTTGCGCGTTTCTGGGGCGGTGGATTCCCTTTCACCCCCCTCGCGGCTATTTTTAAAATGCCGATCGATGCCTGCGTTTTACGCTGGGTTCGGAGAGACGCGAGGCTGGGTTTGATTACCTAGGCATTTACCCAGAACTTTCTAAGAACGAACCCGGGCCCAGTGGGCAGCAGCAGCAGCAGACCGGCCAGACCCTTCCCCAGGTGAGCCCACCTCGTGCGCACGGTTTGCATTCCTTCTGCGCTAAAGCCGAAATTCTTTTAAGGGGATGGCCCTGAAGGAAGGTGGAGCCCCAGTAGCGAATTGTGAATTTGTACCCTCCTGTAGAAGATTACTTTGTTGCTTTTTAGTCTGCACACAATGGTAAGATTTGTATCCCTGATCCCAGGTTGGTGTCCCTGAAAGCCTGCTAGGTCGCCGAGGACGGGAAGGGAAAGGAAAAAGGGCTTTTGTATGGAACGAGGACTTTGAGGTCAGGCTATCCAAAACCACTTTCACCTCTCTGCCCAGAGGCAGGAGTAACTTCTGTCGCTAGTGGATTCACAACGCAGAACGCATCAATTTTAAAGACATCTCTCAGCTTAAACAATATACTAACACTCCCACTCGACTACCACCCAGAAAGCAAATAATATTAGAATTGGTTGTTGTGGATTCAGCTCGTTCATCACCACCACATTGCTCGGTTGAGAAATGATTCAGTCAAGACAGAATTAAGATATCTCCCTAAGATGTCTAATTTTAATTATTATTTTATGGTAACTTCCACTCCAAAGTGTGGCGGGTTTTTTTTTTTCTCTCAATGATCTTGCAAAAAAAAATTTTTTTTTTTTTTTTTGGTGAGGCAGGCAGAATTGTATTCATGTCCTGTATAAATAATTGGGTTGTGTTTGTTTGCTGGCAGAGGACTGTCTGGACCTTAATTTAAACAAGAATGGCCTAAATCGGGATGTCTTTGGGAAGGGCCCTACTGGCATTTGCCAAAGGGATTCTAGCCAAATCCCTGATCAAGTTGCTTGGCACAGGATTATTGATTGGCGAATCTTTCATGGACCTTCGTGTTGATTGAGTTAATCTCTTACACCTGTTTAAAAGGAACCTTCTCACCCCGGGGCCTCCCAGCTAGGAGCTCAAGGCCGTTTCCTCTTAAATCTGAGACCGTTGTGGGCCAGAGCCAGTGGGTAATCACAGCCTGTCTCAGTGGACGCTGCATCTCCTGTGTGGACTATGAAGCCTGAGATCCTTGGGCCAGGTTTAAAAGGGGCTATGTGAGGGGCTGGAGCCATAGCACAGGGCAGGGCATTTGCCTTGCACGAGGCCAACCCGGGTTCGATTCCCAGCAACCCATATGGTCCCCTGAGCACTGCCAGGAGTGATTCTTGAGTGCAGAGCCAGGAGTAACCCCTGTGCATGGTCAGGTGTGACCCAAAAAGGAAAAAAAAATTATAAAAAAAAAGAATAAAAGGGGCCAGCTTGTAGGAACTCTAAACTCTGTATGTATGTATGTATGTATGTGTATGTGGGGGGGGGGTCGGAGGAGGGTCTGCCTTTTGGTAAATATGATGAACCCGGTTTTACCAAGCAGGCCCCTCCTTTGCTGGAGGGATTGGTTTCATCATCTGAGTTGTCCCCAGAGCAGCACGTGCGCGGCCCTTGGGACTGAGAAATTATAATAAGAATGCTGCATTTTTTCTTTTATTTAATTTGTAATTAATCTATGTTAACAGTTGAAAATGGAACTCAGCTCGGTGATTGTAAAACTCGGCGGTTTGAAATGACAGTTACTACTTTTTCCCCCCGCCGTCTGTTTTATTAAGAACATGTGTGTGCGGGGCCAGAGCGAGCGATTAGGCGCTTGTGTTGCGTGTTGCTGAGCCTGAGTCTATCCCCAGCACAACATGGGGTCCCCTGAGCACTACTGGGTGTGGCCCACCTAAGTGCATGCCTGTACGTGGGGGTCGAGGTGCCGCGGATCAAACCCTGACCCTCACACGTGGGAGATCATCAATGAGCTGCATTACGGAATCATGCAAACTGAAAACCAATCTGGTTTTTCTCATGGAAATGGATTTCTAATGAAACCTGGATTTAGACCTAGCCTAAGTGTAAAACGCGTACCAGAATTTGAAGATGTAGAAACAGAACTGAAAGAATTCAGTGACTTGCACTGGCCGTATTAAAAGATACTATTTTAGAATTAACTAAGGTAGGTAGCCTGGCATTCTCCTGCATGACACAGTTTACTTCTGCTGGGTGGTGCTAATTTAATATCTGGCTTGAAGTTGGTCCTGTTTGAGTTTATTATTAGTGCGTTGTTGTTGTTGGGGGCCCCACCCGACTGTGCTCAGGGCCACTCCTGGCAGAGTGCAGGACCATAAACGTGCCGGGGGCCATGCCACACTGGCCGCAGGCAAGGCACTCTAGCTGCTGGACTCAGCTCCCACATTTTTAATATGTTGCTGTCCCTCCAACCCCCCTCCCGCCAAAAACAATTTTGAAAAGCTTTCATGAAGGTGGTTCAACATAGCTTAAGATTATAAGCACCGTTTTAAACATTTTTGTTGTTTTTCCGTTACATTTTCTAACTTGGGCCATACCCAGCTGTGATGGGAGGGGGGTGTTCGGGGGGGGGGGGAGAGGGCGGGTGCTGTTCCCCTCGATGCCAGGATTGAACCTGGACCTCCTTGGCAAGAGACATATGCTCCAGTCCATTGAGCTGTCTCTGGCACTGGGCTAAAAGCCTTATTTAGAATTTCAGCTTGATGGAGTGCCGCGCAGTGGAGCCCAGTGCTCAGGCAGCCGTCACTTCATTCATTCGCCGAGCCCTGGGAGAGGGTTGCTTGCTTCTGGCCTGACCCTTCACCCCTGGAAAACAAGGCTTGTGATATTTTTGTCAGGGCCAAGGCCGTTGTCTTATATAACCTTACTCTAATTTTCTTTTTTCAACCTTTTCAGTGTTTTGTTTTGGGGCCATACCTAGCAGTGCTCAGGGCTGACTCCTGATTCTGTGCTCAGGGGTCACTCCTGGTGGGACTCCGGGGATCTGTTGGGTGCCAGGGATTGAACCCGTGTTGGTCGCGTGCAGGGCCGCCGTTGCCTTACCTGCTCTTCTGTGCCCCCAGCCCCCACCTTAGGGTCCTTGCCCACATAAGCAAATTGAGCATCGACACAAACTTTGGTCCAGTCTACAGATATTATTTCAGTTTGTAGGTTGACCCGATAATGTGTTCTTTATAGCGTTCAAAAATAAGGCTATTTTTAGAACTAAAGAGTTTAGAATTCTTGGCAGGAGTAGTTGAAGGGTTATTAATTTTTTTTTCAAATAAAAAAAATCTGAGTTCTGTGGTGATAGCTTCTGTGGCTGTGTGTGCCTTGCCCTGGGGGAGGCCCTGTGTCCCAGCCCTGTGTCCCCAGACAGTGCTCCGTGTGTCCTGGTGGCCCCGAGCCCCAGACACTGACGCCCCCAGCGCGGGGAGTGGCCCCAGCTTCCTTCCATATACTGGGTGTGGCCTCTTTCAAACAAAACAAAACTGAACTTGTTTGGACTTTGGAAAATCAAAGTTAAAAACCTTTCAGGATTTTTTAATTCTATTACTCATCCTTATTGAGTTTTCAAGCTTTTTAAAATAGCAGAAAAAAAAACTCTGTGTCGTGTAGTGCATATTCATTGTAGGGAGAAAAATTAGTAGCTAAACAGTAACTGCAAAAGAGCCTGAAATCATATTTCAGGGAACCCTTGCTAAGCATTTTGGGAGTGTATATTCTATTATTCTCTGTAATATATCACTTGGTTACTATAGATTTATTTTGGTAGTATTATTTCATTGTTTTTTATGTAATATATATCACTAGGTTACAATAGATTTTTGGTAGTGTTTGTTACTCTGTTGTTCTTTCTATAATATATATCACTCAGTTACAACAGATCTCCTTGATAGAAATGACATGTGTCACATATTAAAGCCGGTACCCCAAAATTGCCGTTTGTATTGT